CGTGGCTGGGAAAGGCTCGGATTAACGGCGCGTTCCGAGGTCTCGCGAAATTCGGCGCAAACTCGCCGGTGAGTAATTCAACCTCCCCGATGACTTTGCCCGAGGAGCGGCCAAGTTACCGAAGCCTGCTTAGACCGAGCGCCGCGGAGAGCAATTAGTGCCAAGATTGGACAACTTCTCGAAATAACGTCGGAGAACGTCGGCGAGGGGACGCCACGAAAAGCGTGCTAACCGACGCGTTCCACGTATGTCCTATTTATAGAAATCGGCCAATCGGCGATAATCGCCCTAAATGAAGATAAATGAATTAATAAAATTTCAAAATGTAGAATCGAACCTAGAGTACGAACCCTTAAACCTGGACGCGATGCGGAAGAAGAGACACACGCCGAGAGCTGATTCCGAATGCCAGAGACTCCCCATTCGGCGCGGTCAGAATACGGAATAATTACGGAGACGGCAAACAAACGCGGCCATCCCGATAGAGTGCACATGTCGTTGTTTACGTAGGCGCAAATACCGCATAATTGATTGCGTTATCGAAGCGAAGCGTTCGCACGTCACGTTCGACGGATCTCGTCTTGCATCGCGAGTACCGCAAAATGACAACCAAATGCTCCCAATTTCGAGCCTCGTTAGACGACTCCTCGAGATATAGTATATTGTGCGTCTACGGCGAGAAAATAAAAAGTCGTTATGAAACGAGCATCGATTCCAACAAGGGATATGACATACAAATACAGAAGGCGAAAGTGTAACTGCAGAAAGGAGGAATATAATTTATAGAATTATTCTTCGTTTCCGTAGTTGTATATCACACACCGTTCGTAGGGACTGGTGCCTATTTTATAACTATAGCGGTAACGTATACTACTATTTTTTTTCTCAGTGTATGAGAGAAAGTAAGCATTTATACCATACGCGTGATGTTTTCAGCACGAGACAGAGTGGACGGACGAGCCAAAGGCAAGTAGCCACAAACTTTAATTATATGTGGTGCAAACGCCCGTTTGTCACCGGGGCGCACACGATGTTCTGCAAAATGCGCAATTGGAGAGATTTATGAAGGGCGGTAGCGCCGACATTAACATATCCGAGAAAATTATGTAACAGTCATTTTCTTTTCGCTGGGCCCTCGCTCGCTTCGGGAAGCGCAAAGCTTTCGTTGGGAACTTATCGGTGATATAAGCATATTACGAGCTCTCTTATTTCATCGCGCCCAATCGATGTTGCGCAACGACGAGCGATTACATCGCTAATTGGACATACGTAACGGGTCCTGCGAAGGGACTTTCATCATGACGGCCCTTTTACCACCTTCGATTCTTGAAACCTTTGAAAGCAGCGGCAGGCAATGACTTTAATCCATAAGAAGTCCTTCGTTTCCATGAAATTATGGGATTCTCTTGAGAGAATCAATAATTCTCTTGAGAGACTCAACTAAAGCGCAGTCGTACACGGCTGTGTGAACCTGGGATACAGTTTGAGGCACAAACAAAATGAACAGGCTTATTGGAATGTTTCTGTCATGTAGACGTTTGTGTCATGTTGAGTTTTGTTTGTGGCATTTTTCTTTTACAAAAACTAGAGCTGTTCAAAAGGATAAACAAATTCCGAAATCGTGGAAATTTGGGATTTTCGACTCTAATGGGTTCTCTGACGTTTGGAAAATTCAGGGCCTCTGAGACCCTCAAAAACGTTAAAATGGTCATTTTCGGAATTTGTTTATTTTTTTTTGTTACACTTTAACGCGAGATTCGTTTAAGTCAGAATGGACCTTCAGGAAGGAAGATTGATCGAATAATCTCCGCTGAATGAATTATTCATATCGGTAAGGAACATGTCCCGCTGTTCAATTCGCGAAACGATGACCCGGGGACGTCATTGCGGTTTTCACGTAGCGGCGTAAAGTCGGGGCCATACCGTGTGATTTTGCAGAATCGGCGAGTACGATCCGATTACCTGGAAAAGTGGACAACGATTGTACACAATATGAAACATGTTACGCGTTTTCGCCACGTCCTCCGCATCCAGCCGCACAGGACCGGATGATCGAATGACTGCTCGAGAGACATTGGGTCTCGCCGGTCCCGCAAAAACGCACGGTGTAACCCTGGCCTTAACCCTAGAACTACCAAGACCAGTAAAAGTGACTGGTTTCAGATGGTTCATCATATACAACACAACAAAAATCGCCGGTAGTTCTGGTGTTAAAGCGATGGGCACTATTTATGGGAGTCACCCTGACCGAGTGTACGTTTTCCAGAAGGGTTCGTCCGTCCACGTGGGCTGTCATTTAAAAAAATGACGAATGTACGAAAAACCGTTGACATCGATTAACCGTCAGCCTCTCTCGCTCGTGGCGTGAACTTTTATGCGGCCCGACAACCCACAGTTAAAAACGCTCCCACATTCTCCCTGCCGAGGTGGAATAATACCTATTCATTACGTTTAAACTCGACGTATGAAACCTACCGTAACTCCCACGGCTGCTTTAATATATCCTGGGTGTAACGTGAAATTATTGACGAGCACTCTGATCCCAGGGAATTTTCTCTGCCGCAGGGACCGCCTCGTGAAAAACCTGCTCTTTCCCGGCAACCGGTAGACCAAAGTATCCTCTTGCTCTCGCTCATTCCTGCCGCGGGAGTTACATGCAAAAATTTGGAAGCTTCCCAACCCGGCACGGCAAAGCGGGGAGAATAGGGCCTAGGAGGGCACTTTTAGACTCTGTTTCAAGTGTAGGCGTTAGTAATCCCGCTTTTCCCCATTTCTTTTCCTTTTTCATATTTCATCCGGAGCATATTTCTCCGGGTGGTGCTTCGTCGCGTCGAATAATGGAAAGCAACGACTCAAAGCTCCGCAAAAGTGTTCACAGTTGCATCAAACGTTGATGTAAACATGCGAGGGATTCCTAAGAAAAAAAAAATGTTTTCTAAATTAGCAAACGTAAGAAATAAATGAAATGTTGCTGGCCCATTTTCAAGTTGAAGTTACAGTAACCGAAGCTGGTCAAATTCCTTTTTACGGCGGTGAAATATTTTCCTGCGGGTGGAATCGCGTCTCTCACGTCATCGAGTACTTCAATAAATATTAATCTCAACGAATTCGATCTGGCCGACGGGATTGGCATCCCATTCGGTTGCATAGGGGGACGTACTTTTCGCAAGAACGAACCTCGCGAATCGTGTACACGTGCATAGGGTTTAGAAAGGCGACTCCTCGCCCTTGAACGGTCCCTAACGCGACCTACGATGCCGAGGGGTGTTCCATAAATATTAAAAGAACGTAAAAGCGAAGACAGATTGCTCGAGGGAAGGGGTGAGAGAAGAGGGAGAGACTTCTCCAAACGAGATTTCTTCCTCAGAGGAGCGAGAGGGTCCGACCTCGCCCCTGAGCGGCTTACCGACCAAACAAACGAGTTAGCGCTACCCTCTTTTCGGAAGCTATTTACCTCCACCTAGACTCGATTATCAGCGAATTAGCGATGATGCTCTCGGAAAATGTGGAGGAGCGAGGAGAGGCCGGGGTGCCTTTAATCGGATGGAAAAATCAAAGTTTCCCGGAGACGGTCCTGTGCTGTTCGATCAAGGGTGCCACTCCTCTTCACTTTTCGAGCTAAGTTCAGAAGTATCGATAGACACCGAAACTTTATCCCCAGGGAAAGTTTCCTCGGTATATAGACTGTGCTTCTACAATTCAACCGGATTAGGAAGACATTGAGAACTAACTTTAAACGAATCCATAATCGGTGAATAATCGGGGAATACGCGATTACTGAGATCTCGTGGATCCGGATCCACGGTCGATTAACTTCCTTGATGTTAACACGTTTTAGAGACCTGGAAACGCGCAAAAGCGCCTCTTAACAAAGGAGCGGCCGGATAGTACCAACAGTAGAAATGGCCGGCTGCGGTCAGCCGGAATTTTCAATGGGGTTCGTCGCGTCCGGCCAACCGAGTTTAACCACTTTTCCGCGATTATTCGGCATTCACCAGCAGACGCGACAATATTTACCCGAGATCCACCTCAATTATTCTCAACGTAAGGACTACCTCGAGGTATTTAATTTCGCGTTACGAGCTCATTAATAGGGAAGCAATTTGGCCGACTGAATTTAATTATTTTCTGTTTTCGCGAGGGGAAATACTTACGGTGGATTTACCTTGATTATTCAAGGTCTAAAGGTGGGTAAGTTGATTTAATTCAACGCGACAAAAGCAATGGGCCGAATTAATCGTATCGATGTGTACGCTTGGCGGTCACGCGGCGTAGATGCCGGCAAACAGCTCGTCGAGTCGCATGAAAATGAAAATATAAATGTTTTCACAAGGGTGCGTAACCAAATACGAAGAAACCCCCTAAAATATCTGCAAGGTACCGATCGCTTTTTGTGTGAACGAAATTAGCTCGCCCTGAGTAATCAAATCTATTTGCGACGAGCTTCACGCACGTGGATATTATTGAAAAAAAAAAAATTTTCCCTTTTGAATATTTAAGGTATTATGAAAGTGTCATTCTATGTATATATCAAAACGTTAAAATATCCCTAAAAATGTGTCTCCGAATTGGGTGTATCGAATCACTTAAAATTTTACAACGCGAGTATGGAGGCTATAAGGAAGGTCCTGACATCCACGTTATTTCATTTTTCACAAAAACTTTTGAAAATATTTATAGATAAATTTTTAAGGAATTGAAATTTCAGGGGTACAGGACTTTCCTTACAGCCCTCATATTTACTTGCAAAATTTGAAAATTTGTCTTGTCACCTAAATATCGCGAGTATAAACAGGCCATATATGGTAAGTCCATATTCATAACCTGGTCCTAATCAAAATTCATAACCTGGGAACATTTACAATCGCACACTTCTATTAATAAGTCCCACTAACGGTCGATCTTTATCGCGGGAAATTATTTTACAGTGACGTCGCAATTCTTCGTGTCTTATCGTACTGCTCCTCGCCACAATTTTATGTGTTTTAATTTCGACTCACAGGTAATCAGCAACTGCATGTCCTTAGGATGAATTACTTTAAGCTTCTTGAAATGTCCGTTTTCACGGAAGCAGTCCTTTGATCACTTCCCTTGAACATTCCTTAGTCGGCGAAATGCGAAAAGACACCGCGATTAGAAGTTAGGACTAACACAAGAGCGCGACGCATACCGCTCGCGTCGAGCGCCGCGTGTCGACTGAGAGTCTGAGCGACCGTCTGTCGCCTCGAGGTAGCCAGACGCTCCTCCCCCCACCCTCGACAAACCGACGTTGCCGATTGGCTACCTGATGCGCCGTTCGGCCTTGTCATTGGTCGATCGTCGGTTCGGGCGGAATCGTTACGATTTCCAGACCACGTGGTACACGGAAGTAAGAAAATCCAGGATAAACTGGAAACACGAAACATACTGACCTCGAGTATCTACAGCTTCGATCGATTGGACGTGGAAACGAGATAAGAATACTTCACGGAACACATACCGCCTAAATGTTCAATTAATGGTCCAGTAGAGCCAGCCATATTGAATTTTGATTACATTTTTTATTGGGCGACGAAATCGCGAACAAAATTTCCAAGCGATATTGGTCCATATTTCTCACATTTTCTATGCCAATCGATCCAACCTGGAAGCAAGATAAGAATACTTCACGGAACACATGTCACAAGGCGTATCAACCCTAAATTGTCAATGAATGGTCCAGTATGGTCCAGAATGGTCCAGTCATGTTGAATTTCGATGGAATTTTTTTTGGACGCGGAAATCACGTGAAATTCCCAACCGATATTCGTCTACACTTTTGACGTTTTCTTGAAAACTTAGTAGGCGTAATCAATTGATGCATAACACGTGTAAACTGGTACTTGCTTGCGATGACTGAGTCCATTGTAGGATTATCTTCTCGGAATTCTAACCTCATCTGTATGTCGATTTTGGATAGCGATATCTCGCTTCCTAGAGCACGGTTATAAGCTGACCGATCGACATCTTGAACAATGCCTAGTTGTCATGAACAACTAACCTCGTGTCGTGGTCTCTCTTGACAAATGTTACTTGTTTCATGGAATATCAGTTGCAAATTTGACAGGATTTCCTCGTCTCTGGCATGAAAATTGAATACGGTCGACTTTTCAAACCCTGAATTGAAATAAATAAAAAAAAAAAAGAAAGGCGCGAAATCGCGAAACTTTGCCGGATACGGGTTCACTTGCCGGCAGAGTGGCTCGGTAAAAAAAAAACAGGGGAGTTGAAGGAAGAGCGCGGGATAGAATTAATCGGATTCCGGTGGCGGTTCTGTCGGCGAGAGCCTTTTAACAAGCCGCGCGACCAAAGTGGTCTCGGGCTCTTTGGCCACGGTTCCGCCAGCGAAGACTAGACTTTGATTATAAAATCCACCGCCGTGGAAGGTCTCCCCGGGATGATCCGCGAGCCCAGCGAGGCCGGATAATTCGAATAACCAAGGCAACCTGGAGGACCTCTGAAACCTGGAGTGCGCTCCATGTCGGACTTTTATTGCCACGCTGTACATTTGTGACTGACCAAGGTGCGCCACGGAAATCCTCGAGGACCACGCGAGATACGTCGGAAACGACGAAGAACGTACAACGAGGGACGCGAGAAAGCGTCCGCCGCCTGGACGACGACGACGACGACGACGAAGACGACGACGACGACTACGGCCGTCTTGGTCAGGAAGGGAGTCGAGAAGGTATCAGGCCCTCTCGGGAGGTCCCTCGTCGTCGGAATAACGCTCGTCCGCCGAGAAGTCGGATACGTCTTCGTCCCTCTTGGTTCCTCCACTGGCATCGGGGGGTTCGGGGGCCAAGGGTTTCGCTTCCTTCCTCGGCTCGGCTTCTGCTCGCTTCCGCTCCTCCTCGGCGCGCTGCTCCTTCTCGAGGCCGTACTCCTCGTCGTCGTCGTCCTCGCGTCCCCGGTCCGGCTCTTCGGGTTCCTCCTCGGCGGTCGCGTGCGGCGGGTCTTTCGGCCTTTGCGCGCGCACTCTGCCTACTCGGCGCGCCCCTCTACTGGAGAGAACAAAATCAGAGTTGGTGGGCGACTCGTCCGAGGAGGATCTCGCTCCCTTCTCTCTCTCTTTTCTTTCTCTCCCTTGCTCGCCCCCCGGAGAATCGGCGGAGTTATTCGTCAAAAATCGAAAACCTTGAGGAGCACCCTCGACAAAATTAAGTTCCAGTTAACGTTGCCAAATGCGCCTGGTTAAAAGATCTCCAGAAATCGTCAATGAGTTCGATTAGACTAGATACATTCCGAACACCTAAGTCTGAAAGAATGCTAAACTGCTAAATCAGTTTCTTTGGATTTACCAGAAAAAGGAATGAACACACCCAGATTCTATTTCACGAGAAATATACTATCATTTTTAACCAGAGAAATAGCATGATCGAGATTGACGGTTTAATCCAGTTAAAGTAACCGGAATTCTGATTCTTTTAACCGGGTCTTTTTTTTAATGCACGATCTCACCCCTTCGAGGCGCAGGCCGGAAATCACTATCACACCCAACGCTTTCGTTTCTTTCAGTCGACGTTTAATATCATGACGTATTCGATTTTTGTATAAAGAGGACGATATATGTATCACATAATAATAATATATATAAAGCATATAATAAATAGTCGGAGGACACTTGCGGGTCTTGCGCGGTGGGAGTGGTCATTGCTCTAACGAGGGGTCTAATTATTGTCAGTCGTCGGTGTACCTGCTGCTTCGCTTTCTACCGCGGCCACGCCTCCTCTTGGACCTCGACCTGGAGCGGCGCCTTCTGCGACCCTTGCGACCCTTGCGTCGGTCCTGGACCTCGTAGTCCTGGAACTTAACCGGGGAGCCTTCGCGCCGATGAGATCGTGCCAGGGCAGTGTCGAACCCTCGTTCCATGGCTTTTTGGTCCTTGTAGCTCGCCAGGGCCGAGGACACCCGAAGGACTCTGCAGGCCGAGTCCGCAGGGATCAGGTACCCCGAGTCCACACCGAAGGACAATGCCTTCCGGATGTACTTCCTGGCTCGCAGTCGCTCTGGAAATCCGTGAAAACACCATGAGTCGCTTTCCTTACCTTTTTTACGAATCTCATTGAAAAGAAACCGAATAGAAAATTCACCTTCCCCGCAGTCGGCCTTGCAGCAGTCCCTGCCGTCCCTGCAGGAGTAGCAGCGTTTCTGTATCGACGTCCTACCGGAACGACGGCCCGCTCCCCAGGTGCCGGCTCTCATGGTGCACGGCTTCCTGGCGTCCAGCGGTCCCATATGGCTGAGAATGACCAAGGATTGTTATTTTAATTTATTCGAGGTTTTAAGGGAGGGAAACATTTGTAGGAGAGTCTCCGACGAACTCGTGTCTACGGTGGTCTACGCGGTGCAGGGCATCGTGCCTCCCTCTACGGTCTTCCGGGTGCTCGTCAACGTCCTCGGCGTCCTGGTGGCTCCTCGACGAAGGGCTCGCGTGGTGTCGCTTGATCGGCGCCATTTTCTTCGGATGCGTTCTCCTCCGTGGTCGGCTATTTTAATACTTTCTTTGAATATCGATCTCTTTCACTCGGGAAATTTTCTTTGGGCCCCAGCTGTGGGTTCCTGGCTGTGTTTCTCGGTGGTGGGGTCGGGGTGAGGTCGTGGCGCGTAATTTTGTCTTACGAGTTGTTTGTCCGGACGAGGGTGAAACACGAAAGCCGAGGGCCGATGACGAGAAACGAGCGACGTTGCCCGGGCCAACTGACGCCGAAGACCTCGAGGCGCTCCGATTTTTGACAATTGACGGCGGATCGAGGTCGAGGTTTGTTGGTCCAAATGTTGCGCCAGAAGAAGGAACCAATCGTAGGTTGAGTATCCCTATGACGATCGCGACTTTCTGACGATCGCCAGATAAGTGAAACTCTTCGGGGCCAGACAGTCGACGTTGGCGCCGATCGATCGGCAGATTACCGTTCACATATGGTCCACGTCGTGACGATGAGACGGAATTATTACGAATAATTTTCAGGTTTAACCCGAATCCACGATTAAGAAGAAACTCCAGAAAATGCATATTGAGTTAAATGTAAATAGAAAGTTAAATTGAGTTGAAAAACATAGAACCAGTTACATTCGATACAAACATTAATACAGTAACATCGAGATAAAAAAATGTAACCATAATTTTATGTAATCTTTTTTTTTATAATAACGTTCATGATACATAATACATGAACATTCTATAATAACGTTCAGGATATATAAACATTTTATAATAAGGTTCATGATACATAGAAATGACAGGCACAATTCTCGTTGTCCCAATGTGGACACTCAACACCTTCTCGGAAATTTCCTCTCTTCCAAGAAAAAGTACAACGCTCGTTTCCCCCTAAAGTCTGTATATTCGGTTGACTTTAAATACACTTCGCAAAGTACACCTCTAAATACAAGAAGAAATTGATGTATAAGGCTCGTAAATAGGGCCCATGCTTTCCGGCGTCTTTTAAGCGCACCCGGTAACGACGTCCTGGTCCTCGACGTCATCGTCCCGGGGCTTCTCCGAGTCGTTCGCCCCGTCTCTCTCGGAGCACCTCTCCTCTTTAACGGGCTCGAAGCCTTTTTCAGAGGCTGTCGATTGAAGTCGTTGGTCTCCAAGACTCCTTTGATCCCCACCGCGGTCCTTCTCATTTGCACCGGGAGGCGGAGACGCGTCGTCCTGGCTCGTCGAAGCCCTGACGACGTCGGGAGCCGGAGTGGCACCGCGATGTAATCGCCTGGACTTCCTGGGCCTCCCTTCCTCCGCAGTTTCTCTGAAAATTCACAAAATTCGAAAAAAGAGAGAGATCAAAAGGCGTTCGAGGTCGAGGAAAAGGTCACTCGCCAAAGAGAAAGGTAAGTCTGAAAGAGACCCCACAATGTGAACCCTGGTCTCACTTGGCAAACGCGGTGGTTCTCCCTCGCCTGTTCCCCCTGGTTCCTGAAACAGGAGCAGTCGCAGGCTTCTTCCTGATGGATGCCTCCTCCCCAATCTTCCCAACCCTAGGAATCCTCGTTGTGGATCTGATCTTCTTCTTGAGAGGCACCACCTCTCTGCCAAAACCGCATTTGGGACTCTTCTTGCGCGGCGGTCTTGGAGAACTCTTCCTCTGTGGGACCATCCCTCTGTCCGCGTCTCCTCTCCTCCCCTCTGCTTTCTTAGGTGCCTTTTTCCTCCTCCCGCCTACGTTTCCATCGCCCTTCTTCGTGGTCACCTTAAAGCCTGACAGGGTTGGAGACACTCGCAACACCTGTCCATCGGGGTCGGCTGGGATGAGGTACCCAGAGTTCACTCCGAAGGAGAGCGCCTTGCAGACGTACCTCTTCGCTCGGCGCTTCCCTGTCAAGAGTCCCAGGAAAATGTCAATGAGGAAATTTGTCAACGATAGGAACGTATGCTACCTCTCTCTATTCCGGCTCGAATGTAGCTCTCGAGGATCCTGACGAGGGATCGCCTTTTCACGAGGGCGCGCGTGCTGGCGTCGGACCTGGTGGAGGGATCGGGCGGCTCGGTACAGAAGGAACCGGCGGTGGAGACGTCCCTGCTGGAGGCGTCCAGGTCCACGGTCTCTGGGATGGAACCTGGTGTATCCTTGCTGGAGAACGGATCTCGATGCTCTCGAAGATATGCCTCGCAGGTCGAAAGTCGTCCGCGACGCGGTCGCCAGCCAGGAGATCTTTGACAGCTTCCTTTGCACCTCCTGTGATGGGCGTCCAGGGCTGCCAGGTCACCCAGGAACCCGTAGACCTCCTCGGTCACGGATTTCCCACCTACCGGTCGGACGCGATGCATTGGACTTTTTGGTTTGCGACGAAGAGGCACGAGTCGCTCCTCCTCGTTCGTCGAGTCTCTTCGCCAAGCTTGCGGTTTCCGGCCCCGCGCCATGTTATAAGGGAACGGACTCTCTCGAGGTTCTTCGGCAGGAACGGCGAAGGATCCTCGTTATCTGGGAAGGGACGGATCCCCAGAGACTCCAGGACGACCGATTTTGCCCTGGTGGCTCCCGCGAGGAGGACTGACAACTGAAGCTCGGCGCGGTCGACCGACGTGAAATTCGGGACTTGGGTAAATCGAAGACGACTTCGCCGCGTAAAATTGAGTAAAATGTTCGACGAAATTGTCTAGTCTCCTTTTCAAAATTCTACCGTCTCTGAATACCTTCGTTGACTAGCAGTTAGCGTTTCAGGGTTCCGGATCGATTCATGAGAAAATTTGAGGATCCTCCGAGCGTCGTTCGTTTCCGAAAAATCACCGTCAAGTTAACGAGTCAAGAAACTACACGCAGGTTACGAGAGAGATCTCGGTGTTAGAATTTCATTTGGAATTTTTCGTGGTTGAACGACATAAAATTCAGGACTTGGCAGGTCGATAATGACTTAACCCCCCAAAGTGTCCAGCGAAACGGTTGACATTTTTTTTTAACGATACTTCCATCCATGAACGCCAGTGTCGACTTTCGATTACCGTTTTAGGACTCTGGATCTATCGAAGCGAAATTCCAGGATCGTTCGTTCCCTAGAAAAATTACCGTCGACTCAACGGGTCGAGAAGCTGCGCAGCGGTTCAGAATAGATCTTGGTGTTAGTATTTAATTTGGAAATTTTCGCTCCAGCGTGAAAGTTTCGCCAATATATAGCGGCACCGCCGTACATGGCAGCGGGGAGGCAATTTACACGAGCCAGGAGAAGCAAGCTACTCCGTTGTCCTTCTTTTCCGCCGGAAAACTCCCTCGGTCCCTTCTCTTGAGGGTGAAAGGCGTGAAAAGGCGTTATTAGTTCGGACAAGTTTCCCGGAGGACGTCAACCGAGAGCTCGCTTGGGAAACTCTTCGGCTGCTTCTTGCCCCTCGGATCACTGCTCGACTACACTTTGATTGTCGATACGCTCCCCCGAAGAGTTTCACGCATAAACGGTCACGAGGAAACTTTCATTCATTCCGAAACACCACTCACGGGATACTGTCCTTTTTCCGACGTTCTCCGTTATGAAACGATCAGGGATACTCGGAGTTTGACGGAACGTTTCCGCGTCCCGAATCGTGGTAATGGGACCAAGCACCTACGAGGCGTTAAATTGATCCTAACTCATAAATATGGGTGCTAGAAGAAAGGCCCTGAGGCGCATGAAATTTAATTATTTTTTTTTTGTAAATTTTAAAAACACCTGTAAACAAATTTTGGAAAAATTAAAATTTGAAGAGGGTCAGGGCCCTCCTTTGAGCTTCCGTGTTCACATTGTAAAATTTGAAACGTTTGGGTACACCTGGTTCGAAGAAAAGTTCCATAGACGAGGCTCCTTGGACTCTACTTTCATGTCATTTTAAACGATTTCAACGTCGTGAGTTTATTTCGAAGCACGGCCAAGGTGATGGGGCAGGTCAGTCTGCGGGTTCCTCGACGAAGCGTCCAGATCTCGCCTCGAAGACGGGGGTGGGTTTCTTCCTCAAGGGTCGCATGCGCTCAACCCTACCATAAAAACCTATAAAAAGCCATAAAATGCCGTAAAAGCTCTCGTCTTCGCCTTTATGCAGAGGCCGGTACACCGAAGACGTCCGACCTTGGGCTCGGCTCTGAAACACCGCGTGAAACGCGAGACGTGGCGCGTTGACGTCCTCTGGGAGGGGCGATCTTCGGGGACGATGGAGACACCCCTTCACGATTCTCGGAGATGACTATTGTTCCCTTGGAAATATAACTGGTAAAAGCTTTTTCGTTTCGGCACCTCGTGGCTCGTCACTCGTTCCGCGAAAGGAGGTGCGTCGAAGCTCTCCAAGAGGTGTCCTCGAATGACCGAGGAAGGAGATCGCAGTGACAGGAGACGACCATCGATTCCTGGGAATATCCTCCCTCGGGACTACGCGTCCGAGTCCTGGAGGCCATGTGAGGCGGCTTTCACCCAGACGACTCTTAGTACCATGATTCACACGCGCAATTATGTCCATTGCGCTGAAAAAGAAAAAATGGTTAACTCAAAGATATATGCATTACGATCAAGCACGGCCCAAGAAACGTCAGATTGAGTACATAAAATATTGTAATTAACATCAATTTTCCTTTCCAGCAAAGCAATTCTTCCTTGCAATTATATATAGTTCAGGTAACAATGTACATGTTAACAATATATATTTATTTCAGTTAACTGATCTTTTGTACTTGCAATTGCTTTCCTATTGATTATAAACGTTTTACACATTGGCCATTTTTGGCAGCAATCAGATTCGATCGAGTCATAAGTGTGTGGGACCTTGCAGCGAGAGGATACAAGGCTTGATTTGCATAAAAGAATGATATATTAAAGGAAAATGTGATGGGTAGAAAGGATAATTTTCATTTCACGGTGATCCAACAAAACTGTTCGACTCGCTTTTTCGGCGACGACTGATTCCTTTTTTTTTTTATTCCATAGCTCAAGTCGCTCCACGTGTTGCGGAGATGAGAAGAGCTTATTCTTGACAGTACAGTTAAATCACGTTGTAAAATTACCAGGGCGAAAGCTGCTTGAGGCTAGGACAATACAAGCGTCGAAACCGACGAACGTTGTATTTTAATAAATGCGATGCACGTCGATCATGTGTCCACCTCGATAAGTCATAATATACTTCTACGACAGACGTTGAACGACGCTAAAAAATGTAGCTCCGGCTTCGGCTTTCGGTGGCTTTGTTTTCTACAAGCCTAGATTGTTTTCTC